TGGGGGACCTCTAATGGTGGTGGGGGGGGCACTTGACATCTGATGTAAGCAGGGGGTGGGGTACTCTGGACATCTAGTCTTACAGATACAATTTTGAAGACAACCATAATGCTGATGCGGGCGCAATGAAATTTTGTTTGAAACCTCTGATTTAGCGAATAGGGACAAGCTAGGTGAATGAATGCATGGACATTGGAGAATCCATCAGCCGTGGCACTACAAAGTGTAGAACAACACACAAGTCCAACGTTACAAGGTAAGGCATTGCAGTTACAGCTACTCCACTGTTGAAGATGCAGAGATCAAAAGGATCATCATTGGGCTCCCAGAAATACAGCTATAGTTGTCTTCTGCGAGTATTATAAACCTGTCAGATATAAATAATGAAAATAAGTCCAGGAGATGTCATGCACTTCCTTGGACTTACCTCATAGTGTGCCTTCCTGGAATTCAGCTTTAAAACAACAAAAACATTTAAAAGTGTAGAATGCCTTTAAGGACAAAGTCAGTTTCAACCAGTATGATCTCTGATGGTTTTTGTCCTAGTCTAGGACAATTCCTAGGCTTTTGCTCACATGATCTACACAAGAGGATCCCTAGGGAAGCATCTTCTTCAGAAAAGGTAAATACTGTATATTTGTCCCTCTATATAGTCATGGCCTTTCTTTCTGACACTGGGCCCTACATTGCACCCCAGAATTCTTTGGTAGTCTACAGATTTCATAATGCCATGCACACGGTTAAGAAGTCAAGTACCTGAAGCAGTAAAGCAACCCCAAAACATCAGTGAACCTCCACCACGTTTGACTGTAGGGACTGTAATCTTTTCTTTAAAAGCCTCATTTATTTTTCTGAAAACAGTAGAATGATGGGCTTTACCAAAAAGCTGTAGTTTTGTTTTGTCTATCCACAACACGTTACCCCAAAAGGATTTGGGCTTCCTAAGGTAAGTTTTGGCAAACTCCAGTCTGGCTTTTTTCTGTTTCTGTGTCAGCAGTGGGGTCCTCCTGGGTCACCTACCAAAGCATCCCTTTTCATTCAGATTGCGACGTATAATGCAAGCTGACACAGTTGTACCCTGTGCCTGAAGGTCAGCTTAAATTTGTTTGGAAGTTGATCAAGGTTCTTTATCCACCATTCGAACAATTTTTCATTGCAATCTTTGATCAATTTTTCTCTTTTGTCCATGTCCAGGGAGATTAGCTACAGTGCCATGGGCTGTAAACTTCTTGAAAATATTGCGCACAGTGGACACAGGAACATTAAGGTCTCTGGAGATGGACTTGTAACTTTGAGATTGTCCATGCTTAAAATACAATTTTTGTTCTCAAATCCTCAGACAATTATTTGCTGCTCTTTCTCTTCTCCATGCTCAATGTGGCACACAGAGACACACAACAGAAAGGTTGAGTCAATTTTTCACCATTTTAACTGGTTGTCGGTCTGATTTCTACATTGTTAGCACCTGTTAATCGATACAGGGGAGTTTAATTACAAATTACAGAAGCATCACAAATTTGGAATGCAATTATTTCTTACAATTTTGAGAAGGTGCCAATAATTTTGTCCAGTCCATTTTTGGTATTTTGCATGGAATGTATCAGATTTGGTTTTTTGTTTCTCCACCAAGTTGTGTCAAACCTATACAAACAAAAGAAATAAACATGAGAATGCCTAAATATTTTTAACTGCAACAATTTTCTGGGTGAAAGGGTGCATTATCCGACAGAAATGCAGGGGTGCCAATATTTTTTGCCATGACTGTAGCTCTTTATTTTTGAATCCCAGAAAAACCATCATAGTTTTAAGCTTAACTATAAAGTAGAAGCAGCTCAGATGACCACAACTTGTTGTAATCTTCATTATGACTCAACCAATGGGCAGATGTTCCATGCATGTGGGTTTTTCTTTTGATTATACAGAAAACGAGACATCCGCAATCAGACATGCAGATTTTAATTGTCATGCTTTGAAAATCCAAGTGTGTGACGCTGAGAGATTCTGAGGCTGCAAGCCATCATTTTAGCTATCTAGTTAACCAGGACACAATCTGGTTGGCGTAAATGATGGTACAGCCTTTGACATGGCTTCCTTTTCTCAGGCAATATACAGCCATGTTTAGGATCACACTGAGATGACAATTGATCTGGCTGATTTTGACAGCTTCCATTCACTTCCAAACTGAACCTCTTGATCCGCACAGAAAAAGGTGCAATCGCTGTGCAGTACTAAGCAGGAAGTCGACGCCTGCAAGTGTAATGAATGGCTACCTTTATATACATATGTATTAGGAAGTCCTATATAAAACATTTTTTTTAAACATTAGAATGTATTGATAATATTATTTACACTCATTTACATACATATCTAAAAAAACTACTATAAGATCCTTTTAAAAATGATATTAAAGGTTTGTTTTTTACTTGCTCTCCCCCTTCCTAACCAGGCCATTTTTTGCGATACTTTAACTGACAATTGCGCAGTCATGCAACGCTGCACCCAAATGAAATTTACGTCCTTTTTTCCCAAAAATTTAGCTTTCTTTTGGTGGTATTTGTTTGCCTGTGCGTTTTTATTTTTTGCACTAAAAAAAAACAATACCGATAATTTTGATAAAAAAAAATATTTTTTTACTTTTTGCTACTAAACACGTCCAATAAAATTTTTTAAAAATCCACCCTTGGACAGCATTGATATAGTATAACTAAAGGCAACATTTTATTTTTAGTTTTAATAGAGTGGAGATGGATTAGAACACCTATCAATTTTTATTGCTGTCTGTGCCCCCATTAAAGTGTTACTAAACACAAGACACTGCATTCACTATATCTGGTCTCCCACAGTACACAGAACATGCAAATGCAATCATTTTAGTAAATATAAACTGCCAAATACATATTCTCATCAGCAGTATATAGCAGTCTTCTATCAATGTACAGCCGAGCACTGGTTAAAGCTTGTAGGAGGAGTTTTCATTCTCCCCTGATTGTCCTATGAGGCTGCATAACCCCGACCCTCTGTCTGGACAGTGCTGATTGGCCCTGTGCTGATCATATGCACTCTCCCAAGAAAGAGAAAAAAACTCTCTAGTAATACACACCAAACTGAGCATATGCAGTTTGCCCCCAAGACTCTGTTCTATCAGCAGATAGATTGGGGATGGTAGAAGAAGGGGAGGATCAGAGAAGACAGGATCAAACATCCTTTTTACACACTGCAGAGGATTAATCCCTTAGGTTCCACAGTGAGTATAACAAGCATGCTTTCTGCATATACAGGCTGATTTTACTGTTGTGCGTTTAGTAACACTTTAAGTGTATCTAAAGTCCACATATTTTTTCAGTTTCTTTCTTTCAGTTTACTTACTGCTGTCTCTTTACCCATTTAGGAGATTTACTCTCTCAATTTGCCCTGGTGACAACTGTGACTAAAGAATAATGGAAAATCTAAAATTTTGAGTTGTCACTAGATCAAGAATAGGGGGGAAATGTTCCGGAGACAACTGTTCAACAGGATCTTTCCCTCAATTTGGAGATAATTCCTCTGACCTGAGTCTACAGGACATGAAATGATTGGAAATTGCCCTACTGGGACACAGATGGTAAAAGAAAAACAAACAGGAATATCTAAAATAGAAAATAAAGGAAGTTTGGCTTTAGATATACTTTATTTAAAAGTGTGTCAGATATTGGAATGTTTTTGATTTTGTTTGCAAAAACTTCTTTTATTTTATCCCCAATAAAGAAGAGTAAAAGTACAGGTTATAAAGTCAGACACAGATGTAGACAGCTTCTTTGTAGCTGTCTTGAAATATATAATTTACGGGCCTCCGATGACCATTAGTGCTCAGACATTATGATTTCATACACACAGGGAATTAGTGTCTCCATGGATATCCATTTTCCATCTTTTTTTCTGCAATGTTTTTTAACCTTTATGTTGCTGGACCAATTTTTCCATGTTTTGCATTTACAATGAAGCGTATATTTTGTAGAATGACCAGATGGATTATTTGTGAATTTCTATGAAAATTTTGTTCAAAACTAAATTTTCATCTTTTAGATATGAAAGATAGGACTGAGATAGCAAACAAGCAAAAAATGAACACAACACAAATGTAAATTGGTGAGGCATCCTTTGGACTCATCAATTGAGAGTTACCAGAAAATTACGGTTTTATTTTTTTTGTTATTCCTCTACCTCTGTGGTGTGGGAGTACATAATATGTAGTGCAACAAGCATTTCTGTATATTTCTGCACCCTAACAGCCTGTGTGTGGATGTTGTGTATATGTGGGGGATTTTTAAATTAATTTAAATTATTTTAGTTTGTTTTTTATATTTTACTTTTTCATTACTGAACTTGATGCAAGAGACTCATGCATCCCTTATGTCATAATATGGATTTGGGATAACAGTTTCTGTTCAAGAAGACATCAGGGGACAATAAACTCATGAGGAAAGAACAAAGAGAGGGCGCACAGGCCTAGTGCATTACCATAAAAAATGTTAAATAAGAAATAAAATAGGTGTTGTACTCACAAATGACAATAAAGTCAAGGCACATCATAAAAGAACAGCTGGGTCAACACCGAGCTGAGTAACAGTCCGTAATGGGGAATGTAGACATCCAATAGCTGACGCGTTTCGAGGACTTGCCTCTTCCTCAGAGCCCACAATAAACTCATGATTTATCATCTCATCCTTGATCTGTAGCTCTCCTGGCATTTTATACCAATATACTGACACTGTAGGGGTTGATTTACTAAACCTGGAGAGTGCAAAATCTGGTGCAACTGTGCATGGCAGCCAATCAGCTTCTATCTTCAGTTTGTTTAATTGAGCTTTGACAATAAAACCTGGAAGGTGATCGGTCACTATGCAGAGCTGCACCAGGTTTTGCACTCTCCGGTTTTAGTAAATCAACCCCACGAGCTTAAAAGTGCTCTGAACGTATGCTGGCCATACACTAGTAAAATGGAGGTCGAATGGTTTTTGTTTTAACCTCCCTGGCGGTATTCCCGAGTGTAGCTCGGGGTAAAGTTTCAGTACCACAAGCGGTAACTCCGAGCTACTATCGGGCTTACCATGCAACGCTGCTCTGGGATCCCTCGATCACTTACCTTGTCCTGCGCACCCACGATGTCCCTCCTGCAGTGTCCTCGGCAATGTAATCCGGCAGATGCCGGCATCTGTCATCTGGGTTCCATCCCCTGCGAGCGTCGGGACGTACAGGGACAGAACGACGGGAAATTTGAAAATGACAAAAAGTGACATTCACTAAAATCACCAAAATCACATAGTAAAACATTACTGTATCAAAGCATTTCACATACATTTTGTCCCGAGTGCTTTGTCCTGCGCCCTGCCTGCATTTTTACTGTTCTTTCTGCTGGAAACTGAGAAACGTCCATGGCGTCCAAAAAGCGTCCCTTTAGGTCAAAAGCGGTTTTAGACCAGCTAGAGAACAGCGATAGTAAATCAGAACCACTTGCAGAATTGAGTGATAATGATTCGTGGGAAAATTCGTCATCAGACACTGAAAACGATTTTGCAACTTTGCTCAGTGATGTGTGAACTTGGCGCTATATTTCAAATTTCAGTGTTTTTGGTTTGATTATATTATTGAATTAAATGTATTACTATTATATTATTATTTTTTATGATTATTTATTAAATTATAATTTATGATTTAGTGTTTCAAGTTTTATCCTACCCCAGATGTTTACTAGATTCTTGTTTGGACAGATTTCAGTGAGTTATTCCTAAGAATTACAGGCCTACAATAACAAAAATACTTATTTCCATGCAAAAAAATGTACCGCTTTGAGCACAGAAATATGGACATAATCAGACTGCTAGGGAGGTTAAGAATGTTCTGATGGTTAGTGGGGTCAAATAGAAGTTTGTTTTCAACCATAGTTATCAGGAAATTGGAAGGAGAAGGATGAACAAATATATTGTCAATATATAACAGTGTATGTAGTCTTTGTTTGGGACATTTCACTCATTCCAAAATGTAATATCAAAGTGGTAGTAAACCGTGACCTTTTTTAAAAAAAAAAAAAAAACCTGCAAGACAATGGCATAAAAAGAAGTCCCCCAGCAGCACGCTGTCACTGCTGACAGGGCTTCCATCTTCATCCGGTCTTTCCTCCGGGTTCGCGAGCCCCGGCGGCTTGAATAGCCGAGCCAAGATGACGTCACTGCCCGCATGTGCGCGGGAGTCACTTTTTATGGCACAGAGCTCCATTCCTTTAGAACGTGTGCACCGGTGCTCTTTTACAAGTATATGACCTTCTAACATTTACCATCCAACACATAATACAGCAATACGTTCCTAACAGTCCAAAGATTTAAAAGACACTGCATTATCTACTTTCCAACATTATCCACTTTTGGTTCTATACAACTACAGACCACAGATGCTGGTGCCACTGTGTAATTCTATACATGCCTTGCTTTTCCGGTGTAAACTATATTTTGGAAAGAAGAAAAGTTCAAATGTCCACAAGAGAGTAGGGATATGACATGCTCCTTTGGTTTTCTACCATTCCTGCCTCCCTTGCTTGCTTTTCTGGGAGGATTGGTCTCCCCTCATTTGGTGTTTGGGAGGATTCTTTTGACCTGAGGACATCCTATGGCTCAATATGTGGGGTCTAATTTACCTGAATGCTTTGAATCAACAGTCTGACATGATTCTCAATTTATATCACATTTATAACACCCACATTAGTCAGTTTATCAGCCGAGGGTTCAAAGCACAAAAGTTTTCTCCCTAACCTTGATCTCCCCTCCCCTTTTCCCACTGTGGTTTATATCACACGGTCTTTAAATGCCCCCAGACAGTGGGAGTTGACTACATGGGTTCCTCTTTCTGAGACACACGTCTTGCTGATAAAACCAATAAATATATTTAAACTGGCCATACATGGATTGAAATTTGGCTGGTTCAGCAGGGACTGGTCAAATTCCAATCCATGTATGGGCACCCTGGTTGTATAGATCGACTGCTGTACAACGACCCTGTGAGGTTTTTTCCAAACAATCAGTGCCGCAGGCTAAAGCCGGCAACACTGATCATTGTGTTCTGATGGAGGGGAAGACTCCCTGCCATCAAAACACAATAGCACAGTAGGAGCGATCCCCCCATCTACCTCAAATATGTGGATGGGGTAATCGGCACATTTTTTTTTGTTCAACCCGCTGGTTGAATGTAAAAAAAAATGTATAATGTGTGTCCTATCTAAAGTGATCCACAGGTTCCTCATGAAGCAGATGGAAAACCTGTGAAATGCATTGAAGTTTAAAATACCCTTACAAAATGTGTTTAGCAAACCATCCTACAAAAACAAAAGAAAAAAAAGTAAAACGCGTAGCAGCAGAGTTGATGAGGATCCCCCACATACTACACTGCTCAAAAAAATTAAAGTAACACTTTTTAATCAGAGTATAGCATCAAGTCAATGAAACTCCTGGGATATTGATCTGGTCAGTTAAGTAGCAGAGGGGATTGTTAATCAGTTTCAGCTGCTTTGGTGTTAATGATATTAACAGCAGGTGCACTAGATGGGCAACAATGAGATGACTCCCAAAACAGAAATGGTTTTACAGGTGGAGGACACTGACATTTTTTCCCCTACTCATCTTTTCTGACTGTTTTTCACTAGTGTTGCATTTGGCTAGGGTCAGTGTCACTACTGGTAGCATGAGGACCCGGGACCCTACAGAGGTTGCACAGGCAGTTCAACTCCTCCAGGATGGCACATCAATATGTGTCATTGCCAGAAGACTTGTTGTGTCTCCCAGCACAGTCTCAAGAGCATGGAAGAGATTCCAGGAGACAGGAGAGCTGGACAGGGCCGTAGAAGGTCCTTAACCCATCAGCAGGACCGGCATCTGATCCTTTGTGCAAGGAGGAACAGGATGAGCACTGCCAGCGCCCTACAAAATGACCTCCAGCAGGCCACTGGTGTGAATGTCTTTGACCAAACAATCAGAAACAGACTTCATGAGGGTGGCCTCTAGTGGGCCCTGTGCTCTCTGCCCAGCACCATAGAGCTCAATTAGCATTTGCAACTGAACACCAGAATTGGCAGGTCCACCACTGGAGCCCTGTGCTTTTCACAGATGAGAGCAGGTTCATCCTGAGCACATGTGACAGACTTGAAAGGGTCTGGAGAAGCCATGGAGAACATTATGTTGCCTGTAACATTGTTAAGCATGACCGTTTTGGTGGAGGGTCAGTGATGGTCTGGGGAGGCATATCCATAGAGGGACACAGACCTCTACAGGCTAGACAATGGCACCCTGACTGCCATTAGGTATCGGGATGAAATCCTTGGACCCATTGTCAGACCCTACGCTGGTGCAGTGGGTTCCTTCTGGTGCATGACAATGCCTGGCCTCATGTGGTAAGAGTATGCAGGCAGTTCCTGGAGGATGACGGAATTGATTCCATTGAATGGCCTCCATGCTCACCTGACCTAAATCCAATAGAACACCTCTGGGATATCAGGTTTCCGTCCATCCGAAGACACCAGGTTGCACCTCAGACTGTCCAGGAGCTCAGTGATGCCCTGGTCCAGATCTGGGAGGAAATACCCCAGGACACCATGCGTCGTCTCATTAGGAGCATGCCCCAACGTTGTCAGGCATGCATACAAGCACGTGGGGGTCATACAAACTACTGAGTACCATTCTGAATTGCTGCAATGAGATTTCAGCAAAATGGACTAGCCTGCTGCATCATTTTTTCACTTTGATTTTCGGGGTATCTTTGAATTCAGTCCTCTGTAGGTTGATAATTTTCATTTCCATCAAACGATGGGGCATCCTTATGTTCCTAACACATTACCCAGTCCATATCAGTATAGATACCCAGCATGATATTTTTCCCCATTGAGATCTCATGTGTTTTCAAAGTGTTGCTTTAATTTTTTTGAGCAGTGATATATACAGTATGGCATGTTTAAACCATTGAGGAGCTTTCTTCATGAAATAGGGATTTTTTTAGCATTTTAATTGTAGTTTATCTATGCATTTTAATCTAAGGGTTGTCAATAAAAATTTGTCAATAATTATTTTAGTTTTCTGTCTTTGCGCACCAGAAAAGTCCACAGCGTCCGCCCCCCCCCCTGGTTTTAGGGGGTTTTATATTTTCCTTTTTGCTTCTGAGACATATTGTACAATGGGGGATGTGGTGTACTATAGCCTGGCCACTCCTAATAGCTACTATTCCTGCTTCCTAATCTAAGAGGGCTCCAGAGAGACAGAGAATTGTGATTCATCTTCATCCCTACACTGACAGGGGAAGAAAAAAGATTGCTGACATTGCAGATCACATGACTATCAAATAGAATTGGGCTTTAAATGCTCTGAATGCCAAAATGAATTAGCAGCATGTAGATCGCAGTCAAGCTCTGCATGCACATTTAACACGAGGAGCTTTTTGCACCTATCAGTCTCTATGTAAATGCTGAATACACAATGCAGAATGTCCTGTTTGAATAACACTTTCTCTTGTAAGGTCCAATTTAAAAGGAAAATCAAATTGCATCTTACAATATTAAATATCTAGGATGCAAGTATGCTGTCCACTTCCTTTTTTTTTCTCAAAAATGTACATTTGAAGATGGTAAGATGGATAGGACAGGGTGAACAGCAATGATCTGATCTGGGGAAGCAAATCCCATCAAAGACCATAAAGGTTTAAAGGTTTTATCAATGCGCGATTTTACTGTAATATTGGATTCATGAACATGGATCATCTTTCCAATAAACTGTCAGAATTTGCAGCAATTAAGGCTGTGTAAAATAGCTACTGGCTGTGACTAATGTATTTTATGGCTTTAATTATATTTTGTTAATCTTCTCTGGTAATATTCGTCGACAGGCTGTGATATGGCAGACAGCTTCAGTAGATCAGCTTGATGAGAACAGTATGTAAGCATTCAGTGCCAGAGATCTCAGACCCTTAAGCACAAATCATGATGCCCTACCCTAAGACTTAGTGCCCATCAGTGCCACCAGTAAATGCCACCTATCAGTGCTGCCAGTCAGTGCCCATCAGTGCCGCCTATCAGTGCTCATCATTGCCACCTATCAGTGCCGAATATCAGTGCAGCCTCATCAGTGCCTGCTCATCAATACCCACCAGTGCCACCTCATCAGTGCAGCTTATCAGTGCCCATCAGTGCTGCCTATCAGTGCCACCTCATCAGTGCCCACCAGTGCTGCCTATCAGTGACCACCAGTGCTGCCTATCAGTGCCACCTTATCAATACCCACCAGTGTCACCTCATCAGTGCAGCTTATCAGTGCCCATCAGTGCTGCCT